GCCTCGCCGCCGCTACCGAGCCCGGCAAAGGGGGGGGGGAGGTCCGGCCTCTTTGCCGCCGCCGCCGCCGCCACAGAGCCGGTCGGGGGGGTGAGGACCGGCCTCACCGCCGCCTCCTCGGGGAGATCGAGCGGGGGGGGATGGAGGAGACGGAGCTCTTCTCCCCTCCCCGCAAGTATCGCGGGTCCCCGTCTTGTAATCACTAATACGCAAGCATGGACATCAGTGTTAATGTACACATGCCACTAGATAACCTATAAGGACAATGCTGTTTTTCTCGTATGTCTTTAGGCAAAAATTGCAGATACCATTTGAGTTTAATGGAAGCCGGGTGACAGCAGAGCAAATAAACATAACTAACAGAGGATGGAACAGAGCCGTCAGCAGTGTGTAACTATAGGTGGGGGGAGGGGCTTGCAGTGTGGTCCTCAGTAAGAGCACACACCAAGCATGTCTCTGTTTTCATTTCTGAAATATCAGAAGGCATGCATTATGGTCCTTGGTAAGAGTATTGGGATGTTACAAGCACGTCTCTATTTTCATTTCTGAAATTTCAGAAGGCATGTTAATTACCTGGCTTCTAATCATTTCGTTCAGCTATTGACACCTTAGATATGTGTACTTATTTGGCAGGCTGTCATGCAGAGAATGTCATAGGGTACCACATTTTTTCACAGGTTCTCAATAATGCAAATTTCGGGTATGCTGTAGGGCTATCTTTCGGCTATGCTCCTGCAGAGTGCAGGGGGTTGGACTAGATGACCTGCAAGGTCCCTTCCAACTCTTAACATTCTATGATTCTATGGCTGAGTTCAGACTGGCAGTTTGAAGCACGAGGGAGTTGTGGCAAAAAAGACCCGGTGTAACAGGCCGGATTCACCCCCCGGCCAGAGTAACCCCAGGGTTACTCTAGCCTAGAATAACCCCAGATAACTCTCCCAGCTGTCTGGTCTTTCCAGGCATGTCTTAGGCCGGACAGAGTCTCTTCCTCCAAGAGCTGGGCGGGCCTGATGTGGCCCCTGAGGCCTGGGGGGTTAATCTGGCCTCTGGACTGTGAAGGATACCAAATGGGGGGTGGGGGGGAGAAATACTGACGTGGATTTCAGTCGAGCCTTTTCAATTGCTTGTGGTTCTTGTTGCTAGAAAGAAAGCCACAACAGTTTCACCGTGCAGAGCAAAATAGCTGTTAGTTTTGGATACCAAGTGGAAGGAAAACTGATCTTTAGGTTTCCTTTTCAACAGATGTGGCAGAGGTGGAAAGGAGGCGCACACGCGCATGTGTGTCTGTACACATGCACAAACTACACAGCTGTAGGGACTTAAGTCTCAGCCTCACCATTAAATCAACAATTGCAGCTTTCATGGATGAATCTGTTGTATTTAAATGGAATCAGATTTGCTGTAGGAGAGTGTCATGACCCCCAGGGGGTCGCCACCTTCCGCCGCCACCACCTTGGACTTCGGGTCCCTTGAGAAGACCCAGGGTACCCTCCCAAGCCCATCTAAAATGCCCCCTTTTTAAGCTGAGAACGTAGGCGTGCTGACCAGGCAGAGAACAATTAAAC